CAGTCGGTTAGTCCGTCGGTATGTGTACCCCCTGGGACAAGCTGAATCAGAACAGGATTTTTTAGATGATCTAGGTTTTTACGTCATATGGTAAGGCTTTGTCACCGACATAGCTATACATAAACGATTGTCCTTTATTTGAAACTATGATGCAGGCTGTATACCAATGATGACGGGCACGTTACAAGCATAATTATATAGTCTATCAATTTATCATGACACCATCTGGAGATTTGCATAAGGTATCTATGAATGAGTGGAATAAGGTTTAAGGTAGCTGGAATGCGCCAAGGATGGCAGGACGATGTTAGATATGATGATGATGGGATGATAGAAGATGTACTGCAATTACAAGATACAGGCGTATAGCTCTCAAGATTACAACATTTCATACATTGACATCAACGTTTGGTAACAAATAGAACTTAGTATAGTAAGCGTTCTGAAAATCTACACCAAATCCTAGGACGGAGGAGAACGTCTACAATGTTTGCAGATTATAGAATGAGGCTGATTTCGTTGACGGGGCTGCTAGTCATGTTCGCGTTTGGTGAATCCACTGGGCATGAAACCACACTCTTCACAACGCGATACTACAAGTCACATCATGAAAGAAGGAAAAGTTTGAAGTCGGAGTTTGATGAGTTCACTGGGCATGAAGCCACAATCTTCACAGACGCGCGCGGCACTGCAACTTAAATCATGAAAGAAGGAAATGTTTGAAGCCATAGTTTAAAGGCCATGGTGTTAAGCTGGCCCCACTTTACAAATGAACTTCCGTGTGGCGGAACACGACCTATCGTTCCACTTGTTCCCGGAGTAATACTCCGCACAGTCCTGGTTACCCCCGTCGTTGTCGGGTTCTCCTGGACCCCACGGACTGAAACCTCCAAGAGAACCTCCATCCTCCCACACCCAACGTCCTTCCTGGCGGATGTCCGTCAGTCCGAACCAGAAGTTAGCGCCGCTATCGACGGCATTCTTCAGGTTGATGAGGAAGGTGTTGGTGACGGCATCGCGGGGCATGGCGAGGGTTCCGCCGTCAGAAGCACAGATCACTTTAGCATCGTTGTAGTTTCTCTTTAGGTCGTACGCTCTGTAGCACAGACGGCTAGTATGATGGTATGAGTACCCGCTGGGACAGGCTATATCGGGAAAGGATGGTTCACGTCACATGGTAAAGGTTCTGTCAGCAGCATAGATATACATAAACGATTGCCCTCTTATGGAACTATGTTTCATTGACGTGCTATATGACAGGAACGTTACATTCATATGTTGTCTATCAATTTATCATGATATTTGTATAAGGTATGTACGAGTGAAAAGAATAAGGAATAGGGTGGCTGGAATGATGTTGGATTGAGGATGATGATGATCTACATCTATCTATGAGTTTCTGAACAACACCCTCATGGGGCCTCACGTTCAGTTGCACGGCATATGCGGCCTGGTGGGGTGCTGGTGCTCATAAAACAAAAAAAATCAACATAACGAACAAGCAAAAATAAATTTGTGCAGTGACTATATACATGGCCGCAAAGTGATTCCTGATTATAGCTGGGAGCTGGGGAGGCCCATGATGAGAATGATAGAAGGTGCACTGCAGTTAAATAATTACAAGACACATGCAAATAGCTCTCTGTCACTACATGCCCTGGCATTCACGTCAGATAGTACTGATAAGCGTTCTCAAAATCCCGTCGATCTCAACATGAAATTCTAGGACGGAGTGCGTCTACGATGGTTTGCAGGTGTTGGCCGTGAACACGTGTTGGTTAACAGGCCAGCTGGCCATGTTATTTAATGTTTCCATGCCGCCTTCCCACCCTGCAACGCCTACACAGAAGATTGTGGTACCATCATTTTTCAGTGCCAGCGAGTCCGATATGACGGCGCTACTCGAACTGTCTTGGCCGTCAGTAAGGACGATCCCGATCTTTCTCGCTGTCGGCCGTCCGGAAGTGGAGAATTCGTTACGCAAAGCAGACAGTCCTGCGACAGAGGGAACTTTGCTGCCTAACGACGTGCCCACGTTTCCGATCCTTGCCAACAAATCGGCCTTATTTTCGTATTCCTTGAGGGATATCGCCCTGTCTGCCTTGCCAACACCGCTGACACTGCCACATTGTTGCAGTGGGGGTACGAGGGAGTGAAGTTCAGCAGAGCATCTGCCGTGGAAATATCGATATAGTAACGCCAGGCTAGCAACATCACGCCGGTGTGAAAGCGGTTGTAACGTGGCGTGCAGGTCTCTCCCAACGAGATTTCGCAAACGATTTTGGACCCTATCTAAACAGCTCAACGAGCTCTGTGCAGCTCCAGCCCAGATGTGACAACAGTATTCCATTTTATATCTATATAATGAAAATTAAGCTGTTCTTCAACTCAAGAAAAACAACTCACCAGAAATTTTAGACAGAATCACTCGGTCTTCACTCCTGGTGACCGTTTTTTTTTTAGTTGGAGAACAGTTTAATTTTCATTATGTATTTTACCAACTCAGAGGAACTAAATGAACATTTATCTAATTTGTTCTGTATACAGTGCCTTCTTTGCGATTCTAGCTATCAGTCGGCCTATATAAATGAAAGTAATGGGAAGAGTTAGAGCTAATGGCAGCTGGATGGAATGAATGATGAAGCGAGAGCGTGAGTGAGTGAATAGGCATGTAACATATCAACGTTGTAGCCTGGTTACCATCCGTTTTGTAACGGGGCTCCTTGCACTCGCCACCTGTTTTTTCCGGTACAAAAAGCGTTGCTTTTATTTTAAATGTTTATTAATTCACTGGCCTGGTACTTACCCCTACATGATGGCCTACTCCCACTCCACCTGCCATTAGCCTGGCAGGTTCTGCTGCTGCTGCCTGTGTACAAGTGGTAACCATGGTTACAGGTGAAGGTGCAGGTCTCGGGATGGCGGAAGGAGGAGCCGCGATTACACGTCATCCTTCCGTTAGCGGGTCTGGACAGGGCCGGACATCGCACGCCTGGAATGGCAATTTGCAACAATGTGGCAGTGTCAGCGGTGTTGTCTTACATTGTTGAATATGGTTATGGCTGTTATCATTACGTATATTTCAGTTATGTTATGATGATGCCTAGCTATCTGGCAAAATATGATTGTTTTAATCATCTTGTAAACTTGTAGCAATATTAAATGGTTTTACTTACATTTATTTCTACATTGAACTTCAATTCCAAACACCAACCATTTTACTGTTTTGAAAAATAAAAACAAGATCAAAGCATACTTACCGATACACGTGGCATCATCGCCAGACCAGGTTGCGTTAGCCTGACAGTGTCTCACCGGCATTATTGGGGAAGCCAGTTCATAGCCATTATTACAGGAAAAGGTGCAGGTGGAGTCCGGGTAGCGAAGGGAGCTGGTATTGCAGGTCATTCTTCCGTTCGATGGGGCAGATAGATCTGGGCATTTTACACCTAACAGCAGAAAACAATGCGATATGCTGTTGACCATAATAGATGTTCATGTAACTCTCTATCACAACTGAAAGTCTTGATGCTTGTATCATTTAGATTTATCATCTAACATAAGCTAAAAACACATTTATATAATGGTTTAGTCAACGTCAAGACGATGTTACACTTACCGATGCACACGGCGTCGTTTCCAGACCAGGTTGCATCAGCCTGACAGCGTCTCTCCCTGCTGCTTGCGGGAGTCGTGAGCTCGTAGCCCCAGTCACAGGTAAAGTTGCAGACCTCAGGATACCGGAAATAGTAGCCGCTGTCGCAGGTCATTCTACCGTGTAGGGGACTGGACAGGTTCGAGCATTTCACAGCTGAAATAGAAATCAGATTTAAAACGAGAATTGCAACATTTACTATGATATCAATGACGAGGATAAATTTTGTTTGCTATATACTGATGCACATCTTTTTTTTTTAATTTGCTAGCTGTTTGGCTCTATCCAAAGATGAATACTATATACAGGACATGAGATGCTTTTGATTTACCTAAGCACGGTATGGTCCCTGTGGTGTTTAGGTTGAATGGGATGGTCCAGTTCCCGTCGTGTCCACAGGAGTACTCGGCATAGACCAGCCTGTCGTAACCAGGGTTACAGTGGAGCAGACAGACGACCTCGTACTCCGCCGCCGTGCTGTCTGGTGATTGGCAGAAGTCAGCTGTAGGGGATGCCGGGATAGAACACCCGAAGTAACCATTCTCCGGTTCAGCGACCTGTGAGAATGAAACAGCACCTTAATTGGTGTACTTGAAAGTGATCTTATAAATTACAGACAATGTGAAGTCCCCATGTTGGTCCCTTCATATATCCAAGAAGGCTACCTTCCATTCAAAACGCACGATACTTTTTAACACTTAAATCTGGAAGTACAGAAGATTATACAGAATTCTGTTCAGCAACAGATTAAAGATTTCTGACACTCTCTGAAACATCTTTTGCCCTAGAAACCCCTATTTCGTTAAAATTTAAATGTTAAAATGTTTGTCTTTATCAAGGGGAGAGGGCATGGAGAGATTGGGAACAGAATCTTACCGGGAAAGGTGGACAGGAGGTCCGTTCACAGCGTCTCCCGTCCCCGACCGTCCCGGGCCGGCAGCGGCAGCTGAAGGTCTGGTGGCCCGTCAGGTCGCAGATCCCGTGCTCAGGGTGGCAGTCGTGCAGGCTGAGCCGGCAGTAGTCGGATGGGACGCATCTTGGGAAAAGTTGAACGAAATTTTAATTGATAATTTACCGTTTTTTTCACGACAAGTTCTCCCAGAGTGGTAAATGAGACGAACAAGAGCGAGGCATTCAAAGAACCAAAGACAAATAGTCATCTAAAAAGATAAGAAAAAAACGTCTTCACCTGGGCTTGTCGTTCCATTGTCCACTAGCCATGCACCTGAAGCTGTGTAGACTGTGGAAATGAAGGTCCTGCTCATTGCCGACTTTGTACCCGGACTCACAGGTCAGGCGGCAGGAGTCCTGGTACCTGGTACCGCTGCACGCCAGGCTGCCCTTGGCAGGGCTCTGGGTGTTACAAACATGTTTCAAGAGATATGTTCACATAGGTGTTCATATTTGAATATGTTTATCGTATTGAATTCGAGAGGTAAAGCCATCGATGATTACAGGGAATATAGTATTGATCTGATTGTGTAACAGTTTTTGATTTTAGAAAACAAGAAGATACGTACAGTAAGGTTGCCACAGTCCTTCTTCTGACAGAACAGATCTGGTCCCCCAACAACTAGTTGGAGCGCTATAATTAAAAGGGACATCTTTATAGTATAATGCTAGACGTAGATATAGTCTCACATACCACTGTATTTTCTTTCTTATGCTGTTTGTAACTGCAATTAGCCCTCGGGCATGTATTTGCAATAAACTTTCTGTATTGCGGCAAAGATTAGGGAGGGAGAAAATGTCAGTTCTACAACAATCCTGTGTATGTCGTGATTGCATAAGCACATTGATTTGCGTTTGCGGCCTGTTCTTGGGCAATCAAGGGCGCTACCTCCCGTCTGTAGGCTCCAGTTACCGCTGCTATGACAAGCTACGCTCTGGTGGTTCGTTCCTCGGTACCCGTCCGCACAGGTGACTCCGCAGGTGTTCCCGTAGGTGTGTCCGCTGGCGCACTGTAGGGCGGTGTTAGGGAACTCAGGAGGGGGGCCGCAACTCACTGGTAAAATACAAAAACACTTTGTAAATATATATCTTCAACAAAAAGTGTCCCGAATGTTTTGCATCTAAGATAGCCCCATAACAAAGGCATTATGTTGGCCTACGTAGTTCAAATAAGTACGTAGTTCAGTATTAATATGTAATATTATAGCAAGATATGTCATAAAAATAGTACCTGGGGTACACTCAGGCTCCCCACTCCAGCTGGCCTGGGCCGTGTCCCTGTAAAACAGGCAGGTAAAGTTGTCTTGTCCCAGCCGTTCGTAGCCGTCCTGACAGGTGAGATGACACGTCTCGCCGTACGTCGTACCTGTACAGGTGACGTCACCGTGTGCGGGTGTCTGTGCACGGAGGACGTGAAAGAATCTTAAGACAATGAGCCTTTGGTAACAACTATATACATTAAACTTCAGATGTCTTCAGTCTTGTTTCCGTAGCGTTGTACTGGCTTGATGATGTATTGTATTGATGTTGTATTGGCTTGATGATGAGGAGGATCAGCCAATGAGTGGTTTATTTCAATAACCATATATTGGTTCGTTGGAATGCATATAACTACTTACCGAAATGTTTCCACAGTCAGAGATGACACAAGCCAGAGTATGTGGGATGACAACGTCTGCGAAGAAGAGAAAGAAATCCATTTGAATACAGAATAGACATTGCACATAGACTACCCAAAAAGTTAAGTCAACGTGTTATTATTATCTATAACTTCCGATGAGTCCACGCATCTCGTATATATTCAATATACCTTTTCTGTATTCAAGTATATATGCTTTAACCCCAAAGTTATCTTAGGTGTAGTTATCGATGAATCAAACGCATGTTGTGAACAATAATGACACACGCATGGTATGTAATATCCCCCACCTGCTGACACAGCATTTTCCATCTCTGTCGTGTTCCCTCTGCGGAATGCGGTCCAGTTTCCGGTCCAGCTGCAGCCCAGGGCGTGGTCCGTTTCCGGTACGTATCCTTCATCACAGGTGACGTCACAGCAGTCCGAGAACAACACGTGAACCGGGCACAGGTACGAGCCGTGCGGGGGGTCCTCAGGTGGGCTGCATGTTACTGTGATGACAAATTAAAGGAAGATTGGAAATGATTGTCTATGCAGATGGA